AAGAAAATCCACAAAGCATCAAATAACTATTACTTTAACATAGATGTTCTGATTGAGAGGGCCAATGAGGGTCTGGAAGTAAATGTTCATTACCCATTTATTTATTCATTTAATAAACATTTTGTACTCACTGTGGCCTTAAGGTGAGTAAGACCTGGTTAGTGTTTCACCTATTCTCAAAGACTTCATAAGCTAATGAGGCAACTACAAAAGTGCTTCCAAATGGTTCGAAAGATTCTTTCAGGTGGCATTAAATTTAGAAGCGTATCTTTTTTTTTAAATATATTTTTAAAGATTTTATTTATTTATTCATAGAGACACAGAGAGAGAATGAGAGGCAGAGACACAGGCAGAGGGAGAAGCAGGCTCCATGCAGGGAGCCCGACGTGGGACTCGATCCAGGGTCTCCAGGGTCTCCAGGATCACGCCCCGGGCTGCAGGCGGCACTAAACCGTTGCGCCACCAGGGCTGCCCTAGAAGCGTATCTTCCTAAAACACAGCTTGGGATAACCATAGTCTAAGAGAACAAATACTCTATAATTGGAATTAGACCTCTGTAGATCAGTGTGGGAGGCGGAAGCAGATGGGTGTAACATGCAGGCCAGTGCAGAAGGAAAAGGACCCTCCAGGACTGAGACAGAGGACTCAGACACCAGTGTGTATGCCATTACCCTAAGCCCACTGAAGAAGTATTGGGAGTTATGACCAACTCTACAATGGACACCTATTCTTAGTTGTTCAATAAGCAATATCATTACTTTTAAAGTACTGGCAGAGAAAATATTTTATCAGACAATGTTAAGGAGGTTTAGTGTAATAGTTAAAAACACAGACTGTGTCGCCAAATGCCTGGATTCGAGTCCAGGATCAGTGCCTACCGTTTGTGTGACAGTGGCAAGCTATTTAAACTCTGCATTCAATGTCCTTATCTGTAATATTGGAATAATATCTATCTCTTGGGATGAAGATTGCGTGAGATGATACGTGTAAAACCCTCAAACAGTGTTTTCCCATGGTAAGCTCTCAACAAATGATATCTGTTATTAGCATGACCTGAATTACAAAGATCCAAATGGCAATTTCACTCATTCTAGGGCTGACTCATTGCAAAAACAACGAGTTTTTCCCTAACTAGTTTAGTAATGTCTTGTTTTTATTCCAAAAAGGTGTAAGTTTAATAACTCAATTCATTTCAAAAGTATTGATGCAGACAGAATTATAGTAGTAATTGTGCTGTTATCACCTTATGTTTTTGAGCACTTGTAACTTCCAAATAGCTTTTAGATCTCATAATATTCCCATAAGCACCAGAGGACAGTTGTCTTCCTTTTACAAATTAGGAAACAGGATAACGTAAAGCTAATGATTTGCTTGCAGTACAGTTAAGGCCACTAGACGTTTAGTCTAGTTATCCAAACAAGTCAACCAAAACTTGAAAAGTTATTGAGCACAGATTTGTGCCCAGCCTTGCAGTGGGTGCCTCAGAAGACTAAAATTATATAAAATACAATCCATAACCAAAGAAACTTATTTTTTTAATCGGGGAGAGATATGATTTTATATTGCTTTCTGCATAGTCTCAGCAATTTTGCCTGGTTTTTAAAGTTCTTCAAAATCTTCAAAGTCTAAGTCACTGTTCTTTATTATTAATTTTCAGTGGAAACCCGTATTTCTAGTTGATCCATTATTCTTGACTGCTGAGTGAGTCAAGAAACTTTGAGGTTTTAAAAGCAATTCCTTAGGTTATTTGAATGTATTTTGTGGGTTGAGGTCTGCTGGGACTTACAGAAGTGATGAATGTGACCCATGCTATGCCTTTTCTGCATCTAGGGACAAGCATGGGACAAGTATAGAAAGATAGCCCACAAATTTGTCCTGGAATGCAGGACAGTGATGCATAAGTATGCACCTTATTGGAGAGGCAAAACAAATACAGGTATACATTTTATATGTCTCTTCATTTGCAGTCTGGTCTTCATGTCCTGGAAACTGAGGGAGTCTGCTCCTTGTACAACTCCTGAGGATTCACCTCCCAGAAACACCAAACTATAATGGTGTCTAAACACATCCTGTTGTGTCACGTCTCTAGATTTTTCTATATTTATTATCTCTGACTGGAATGATCTTTAGGAAAAAAAGTTTCCCACTTATTTTTTTTAAGGAGTCTACCATTATCAAGAATTTAATGAGGCAATTTAAAAATTAAACAGAAAATACAAAATCCATCACTTTCCCGGATAAACATGTAAAGCAATTTACTGCAGAAAGCAAGCAACACAAAAGGACTAACAATGGAATATGTTATTAGTAATTCTTACAAGACACTGGGAATAGAGTTTTGAAAGTGCTATTAGTAATAATAATAATAATGACAATTTATTGAATATCATTTGTCAGGAACTATGCTAACTCCACGTTTATTGTCTCATTTAATACTCCACAGAAAGTATGAAATAGATAATATTATACCTATTTTTGAGATGAGAATTGAGGACTGGATAGTCAGGTAAGGCCATGTGGTATGTAGCTAAAATGGAATCGTATAGCACATTGTCTGGCTCCAGAGAATAATCTATTCCGAACAACATTATAATTGTGAGCTTACATGTCTAAAAACAAATGCTTAGAAAATGGATAATAAACAATGGCCATTTATAACTTTAACCCAAGGCATTAATATAATTTCAATAATGATCCATTATAGATAAGGCTCATTACTGAAGTCTAGGAACAGAAACATTAACATATTCAAATGGAACAGGTCTAATAGAGCCCATGGCAGGTAACATTGTGAATCAATAAAGTATGTCTCAACATAGAAATTCATAGTTAAAGGTTAAGAGTCATCTTTCTAAAATCCAAATATATGTACAGTTGTTTCTTGAACAATACAGAGGTTAAGGGTGCTCACTCCCTGTGCAGTCAAAAATCAGCATATAACTTTTGACTCCCCCAAACTCAACATATATACACATATATAATAATTATCACATGTGATAATTACCATACATATATGTAAAACTATGGCTAATTTGTATCATCCATTATCTAGTACAATCTCTGGTACATGGTAACTGCTGAATAAATGAAGGAAGGCAAAAGAATAAAGGCTAGAACAGAAAGAACCAAAATGATGAGATTACTTTAAATATACTATAGGCTGCATCCCTAACTTAGAATAAAGAATCTTCCTTTTTGAGGCATCTGCCATCAGTTTAATTCCACTAAAAAGAGCATCTTCTAAATTGTGCCTTGTTTTGAAGAGATTAGAATATAAGACTAAGGAAGCAATGAGGAGAAACAATTTTATATGGGTTTATTTCTGACCAAGAGGGATGAAATAAATGGCGAACTAAAGTGCCAGAAAATTTGTGACAATATGACAATTCATAAAAGAATATTTATAGAAAGCCAATTTAAAATGAATGAAAGAAACTGAAATGTAATGAGGATGAATAGAGGTTTCAGTATTTAATATAAAAATTCACCTGATTGAGATACAACTGCATTTCAATAGCAATTCTTGTGAAAAAAGATGAGAGATAATTACTATCCTAGAAGCCCAACACAAATTGACAAGGGAAATGTCTAATAAAGAAAAAAAAAACAAGATCTAACACAATATTAGATTGAATCAAGAGAAAAATCCAAGAGTCTGAATCATAAATAAAACTATTTTCAAGTGTGCTCTCATCAGAGCAAGTGTGATAATGAGAATCCTTCAAAATGGTTCTATTAAACAGAGTTAAATGAGATGGAAAAATTTAATCTGGGTGGCTACTTTGTACCAAACATATTCAAGCATGTCACAATAGAAAAGGAGAGACATTATGCATATAAGTTGGAACAAAATGTTATGATACTTGGTGAGAAATATGAGCCTAGAAGATGAGTTGTTTATTACCTATACTCTGCCTTCTATTTTGGGGAACCCAAAAAGAAGCCATCCATTCTGTCTAGGGTCCAGAAGTTCTCATGATCACTACTTTTAAAGAGCTGAAACAGTGTTTCTCACATTTAAGAATTTGGCATCTCAGGTGCTCCCCCCCACCCCCACCCATGGACCTAGTCCTTGTATTCTGATTAGAAAAGCAGCGCATCTGAGTTCAGCACAGGCAGCCCAAGCGTCATTCAGTATTCCCTACATTATGCAACGTGATTCTGTTTAATCACAACTTAAAAAATTACTGGTACAATAAATTGGGTTATCAACTCCTACTGGGTCATGACTCATAAAAACTGCATTAGATTGTCTCTAAAGTTTCTACTATCCTAACATTTAAATTTTCGATTAATACAATGATAATCCAAGATATAAAATAAAGAATATGAAGAAATAGAACTGCCTCTAGTGGTTCAGTGGATAATCACTCTTTAATAAAAGATCAGTCTTTCTGTTAGCCCTGAACAATACAGACGAAAACAATTTAAATCACGTAAAATTTTTGCAGAAAAGTATTTGTAATGGATGGTCTTTGTATTAAAAGTTTCTTTGTTTAAAAAGTTTCTTTTTTAATTCATCAGAGCCTGTGGTAACTATTAGTCTTCATCAAACTATCAGATGCAAATCTGGAGATTCAAGACAAAAAAAATCAGACTAGACAAAAATATTGCCAAATTTATTTTAACAATACCTTAGACCCAACTTTGTAAAAATAAAGATCACTTAAAAAAATCAGCTTCCATTGGTTCTTTAGTAAAACTCAAACCTTTAATAAACAGAATTTGAATGGAAATAATACTCAAATTAAAATCCTGAAAAAATTATACAATGTTTTACAAAAATAATCGATCATTTCCCCCCAAATCCATTATCTGTGGACATATAAAATGTGATGAGGGTCTTCCGACCATTATATCTCTGCACTCTTTCTTACCCCATCTCATTACACAAATCTGATTTACCCAAGGCAGTAATATACATGTATATATTTATAGATAGGCAATAATAACTGTATATACATATAAATTTATACCTACCAACATCTATAAAATCTTACCTCTTTGCTTTCTTCCAGATCTGATTCACTACTGAAGTCCTCTGTGTTTAAGTTTTCAAAGTCAGACTCTCCTACAGCGATTGGTACAGTCACAGTAAGACTGGGATTGTTTATGAATGACATGTAATCGCTTTCATCAATAATGTATTTTTCAACACTGCTGCCGGTTCCTATTCCACTTGTGGTTCCATTCACGTCTTTAAGATAGTCAAGATCTTTTCCAATTTCTGTTGTATGATTGGACATACAACTGTCTTTCTTATTGTTTAGATCATCAAGTGGTTTAATTTCATCTAAAATCTTTTGTTTCCTAACAAAGGATTGTTGAATGAATTCATATATTTTTCTCTTCACGTAAGCTACTCCCTTGTGCATCCTGTCCACAGCTATTTGGAGATTGTTCATTTCATTATCATCATCTGTGGCTGCAAGATTGTCTGCACTAAATGAGCTCAGTAGCAAGGCCAGAAAGAGGTTCAGGACCTTAAAAATAAAACAGACATGATTGTGCTCGCTTCAGCAGCACGTATACTAAAAACAAAACAAAACAAAAACAAAAACAAAAACAAAACAACAGACATGATTATAATTTTACCCCAATGTAAAGAATAGCAGAATGAGATTACTTATTCTTCGAAATGTAGAGGAAACTGTAAGTTCTAACAGCTAGATAAGAAAGAAACACCATAGCATAGTAATTAGAAGTTGGGTAATCTCAATTTGTGATCTGGCTCAGTAGTTACTATACTCTGCATCCCTGGGCAAAGACATGATTTTTGTTGGCCTCACATTCTCCCACTTATAGAATGAAAAAGTTGAGTTCAGCTATGTTTAAAATTGTATGATTATAAGAAAACAGATTGAAATATGTATAAGAGTTCTAACCTTAAAAATCATTAGTGTTTACACTTACACACTTAAATAAATTCTAGTTTCTTTTTGATAAGCAGATATTGAGTTAGATATTAATTTAAAAAATAATCATTATGATCCAGAATGAGAATCTTAACACTGACATTTTCTTGACCTATTATATTTCTCATACTCCACTATTGATTAATTAGGAGAACTGTTTTTTGTTTTTTAAAGATTTTATTATTCATGAGAGACAGAGAGAGAGAGAGAGAGAGAGGCACAGGCAGAGGGAGAAGCAGGTTCCATGCAGGGAGCCTGACGTGGGACTCGATTCCAGGACTCCAGGATCATGCTCTGAGCCGAAGGCAGATGCTCAACAGCTCAACCACCCAGGCATCCCTGGAGAACTATTTTTAAATAATCTTTAATATTTTCATAAGACTGACTATATATATATATATCTTTTAGAATATATTAAATTTTTCTATACTGTAAAGAGTCATTAATGTTTCAAACTTAGAAGAATTGATCAGTTACTCCATGTGGGTAATCACAGGCATCATTAGCCCATCTTTATTTTGACTAGAACCATTAGAGAATTGATTAACCTAGGTTGGCTAATGCACCTGCCATATGATACAGAATGATTGAATGCTATATGCCCTGAAGAGGCAAGGAAATGGTAAAATCACTATGAATACTTAAGGACACCATCTTTTGTCCTATACTGGCAGGTAAGATTAAGTTTCCTTTAAAGTTATTTTTCGAGCACCTCAGGATGGCTCACACTATGGAACCACTGGCAAAGAAGATCTTTAAAGGAGTTTTAGTAGTTGAACTCTTGGGCATTTTTGAAGCGTATTTTTTGTTTAATAGGATGAACACAAGCCAAGATTTCAGGCAGACAATGAGGAAGAAATTTTCCTTCATCTTGAAAGTTTATTACAAATCCATTGAACAGTCTGGAATGTATGGAGTCAGAGAGCAAGATCAAGAAAGATGGCTGAATAGCAAAAATTAGGACCAGTCATCGCGTTCAGCCTCCCATCTAAGCTGTTTGAGACCTTTGCGGGGGAGAAGAAAGATGAGCACACCACATGGTAGACTCCTGGCCCCACAGAACAAAACAGGAGCTTCTGGCCTGCCATGGCTTACAGTCATTTCCCATCCACTGTACAAATCCACTTACTTTTGTTTGTTTTCCTTTGGCATTTATTGTTAAAGATTACTTTTAACAAAAGACTAAGATAAGAAAGGGGAAAAAATAAAGTTATTTTTCATACTTCTCCCTCCCTTTTTTTCTGAAATTGTAAAATGTTCCCAGCATATCCTCTAGGCCTGTCTTCAATGTTCTACTCTATTAAAATTCATATAATAAATGTGATGAAATGATTGACAAAGTGGATTTGAATATAAAAACTGTAGGGTCACTGCTATATTGTAGTGCTGTCAGAGTAAGACTGTATGCATATGCAAGGCTAGAGACTTTATCAATTATTAATTGTATTTTTTTTGTTTTTAACAAGATGGTCACCATTCTATTACACCTTTTATCTATTTCTGGAACACATATCTTAAATGATACATACCACCAAGTTTCCAATCACCATGACCATCATGAAGACAGTAAGGCACATGGCTTGACCAGCGACCTCCATGCAGTCCCACATGGTTTCTATCCACTCCCCACACAGCACGCGGAAGACAATTAGAAAGGAGTGGAAGAAGTCATTCATGTGCCAGCGTGGGAGCTCACAGCTGGTAGAGATCTTGCAGACACAATCTTTGTAGCTCTTACCAAAGAGCTGCATGCCGACCACAGCAAAAATGAAGACAATGATGGCCAACACCAAGGTGAGGTTACCCAGAGCCCCCACTGAGTTGCCAATGATCTTTATCAGCATATTCAATGTTGGCCAAGATTTTGCCAACTTGAAAACTCGGAGCTGGAAAATAAAAAAGTAATAATAATATATATTATTATGATCTTTAAGAGCATTACATATACTGAGGTTTACCAAGAAATGATGGATTAATGTTGAATCTCTTACAACATCTGCCTTGCCCTTGAACACTCTCAGGCTCATAGCTAATTTTTGGAACCCTAGGAAGAATCTAATTCTTCCGTATTTTAACCATGTAGATCATTTTCCCTAAGTGTGAATTTTTTGAAGATTACTTGGGGTCCCACTGTCCTTAATTTTTCTGTGAATGTGGTTCTAAGGCATACCAGACCTAACACTTATATTAACATCTGAATCACAATAATCACTGTTGAAAAGATATTCATTTGTCAATAGCATGCAAAATGACATCATATAAGCTAAAAGCAGAGAAAAGTGTTTATTATACATTAATGCTTCTTTGGAGCACTGACATAGCTAGATGCCTGTGTTTAAAAATTTGGAGATTTCCCATACCTGTAATTATTTCCCTGATTTGCAAGGACATATATGTAAATCAACAGGCATGGTAAATAATCCTACAGATTTTTCTCCTCTGATTTAGGAAACGAGCATATTTTCCAGAGGTCAAATTAGGAATAGTTTGCATGCCCAATTTAGTGTCTGACCACCATCCACCATACGAAGGGTTGTTTATATTTTTAATTACTATTAAAATGTAACATATTTTCATTAAAAATATTTTCTTAGATCCAGAAATCTCTAGAAGTGGTCCTCTCTAGTCAGTCACAATGGCAATTGAGGAATATATTAAACTGTACATGACCATGCTTTTTTAAATAAAGGTTTATCTAAATAAGTGGAGATAATTTTTTTCCATTTAGGGATAGTTTTGACAATGCAAATGTGACACAATTTTTTTTTGTGACACAAAAATTTAAAATGTTAATAGTTGTGTAGTAAAACCTATGACAATACTATGTAAGAGCCCTGATGGTTGGACAGATTTTTTTTTTTTTCAGATTTTGTTTTTGTTGTTGTTTTGTTTTGCTTTTTACCAGTCGGAATGAACGGAGAACTGATAATCCTTCCACATTGGCGAGGCCAAGTTCAACCAGGCTAAGTGTCACAATAAAACCATCAAAGATATTCCAGCCTTCTTGGAAATAATAGTAAGGATCCATGGCAATAATTTTCAGGAACATTTCTGCTGTAAAGATTCCAGTGAAAACCTAAGATCAAAACAAAGTGACGTTAATTCCATCAGATGATGATAAAGTAGAATGACATAGTATTTGACCTTAGAACAAAATGTTTACGCTAACTGCCTCATAATGATTCTAAGACTAGATACATTTGTGTAGTAATTTATAGTTTATAAAAAAGCTCGTGTATACTTTATTTCATTATATTGCCACAGAAGTTTATGAAGTGGCTACTGCAGGTAATACAAATATTACTTTGCCAATGAGGAAACAGGTCTTTACATGGGTGCAGTGACTTGCCTGGTATCATATATCTGGAAAATGGCAAAACTAGGATTTGAATGCAAGTCTATTTTTAGATTCCATCACATCAAACAGCCTGTCCCTCCAGACTTTATACAGCACAGGTACTGATCACATCTTGCCCATGAACACTTTTATTTATTATAAATAAGTATATACCCATTTTCCTAAAATCTTATCAATTTATTAAGCATGTGGAAAAAATAAATTTATTTCCATTGTATTAATACCAGAGCTTTAAAAATATGAATACTACAATACAGGATGTTTTATATGTTTTGCCTTTTCCATCAGAAATCTTTTTTTTTATTATTTATTTATTTATTTATTTATTTATTTATTTATTTATTTATTTATTTATTTATTTATGATAGGCACACAGTGAGAGAGAGAAAGGCAGAGACACAGGCAGAGGGAGAAGCAGGCTCCATGCACTGGGAGCCCGACATGGGATTCGATCCCGGGTCTCCAGGATCGTGCCCTGGGCCAAAGGCAGGCGCTAAACCGCTGCGCCACCCAGGGATCCCTCCATCAGAAATCTTAAACCTCAAAACAAATATTATGAAAAATACATAAAGTCCCTGTCAGCAAATAAAAGCTAATATTCCTAGATTAAGTCAACCGACAAACACTTTAATAATTCTTTTTTTTTAAGCATAGAAGAGAGGGATTTAAGTGACAACCTTTACCAAAAATGGCCTTACTAATCATATGACACACAAAATGTACTAGAAGTTTTCGATATTTGATGGTTTCGATATAAAATAGATAGATAAAACAATGCATGTCCTACCTAGATCCTGGAAGTGGAAAAGCTGAAGATATTTTTGAGTTGTTAAATTTTTTATTGTAATGATTATGACTAAGCAAAATAAAAAGATATACTTTTTTTTTTCTTTCTCCAGCTAGGGAAACTATGATAATATCATTTCAAAAAGTGTGTCCTTAAATTTCTTCTGCATCTTGAAAAAATTATAAATCCCAATATTGACTTTTCAAATAGTAGTAGAGGCCTATGCCTATTGCCCTCTTTCTCAGTTCTTGCTTTGACATTAAGGGCTATTATTGTTGGCAAAAAGTGCAGTGCAGCCAGCTAGAGATAGTTCTCATCTTTTGGGAGCCAGGAGGTAGGAAGGGTGGTAGAAAGACTGCTTTAAGCTATTAAATGGAAACAGTTTCTCAAACAGAAAATTCGAAGATTGAACACATTTACCTTCCAATATGCTTACCAAGTTTCCTACTGTAAGCACATTATTGAAATGTTCCGTCATTGGATAGTGCTCCATGGCCATGAAAAGGGTATTTAAGACAATACAGATGGTGATGGCCAGGTCAACAAATGGGTCCATTACAACCAGGTTGACAATATGTTTCACTTTTAACCAGTATGGTGAACAGTCCCAGATTAAGAATATGTTGGAAAATTTATACCAACAGGGTGGGCATTTCTGTCTGGATTCTTCAAGTTCTAGATTAAAAAAAAAAACCACCAGAAGATATATTTTGTACACACATATATTTATTTCAGATCCATTAGACTTATTTTTCAGTAATCAACACACTTTTATTTGCTACAGGATCAACCTCTTTTGTACTTAAAAAAAACTATAGAATTTATTCTTTTTTTTTTTTATGATAGTCACAGAGAGAGAGAGAGAGAGAAAGGCAGAAGGAGAAGCAGGCTCCATGCACCGGGAGCCCGATGTGGGACTTGATCCCGGGCCTCCAGGATCGCGCCCTGGGCCAAAGGCAGGCGCCAAACCGCTGCGCCACCCAGGGATCCCTATAGAATTTATTCTTTAGACACCTGAAGACATTTCTTCAGACACACACATAGAGCAGAATTAGCAAAGAATAGTATTTTCCTCATATGCATTGACAATACGGCTCAGCACTTGGCCTGAAGTGAAAGGTCTTTTAAATGAAGTTTCAATAGGAACACGAGATGCAAATATGTAGATACTATGTGTAATCCTGTATTGATTTCTGGCTAAACTGTCAACCTAAAGTTGTAAGAGACAGGGTAGGGATCAATATGAGCCAAAAATCATCTTTGAAATGACCCACTCCTCCCCTCCAATCTTGAGAGTATTTAGGATGATGTTGAAGTCCTAAGCTAAATAGGACAGAACAGAGGGTCACTATGACTAATGAGATTAGAAACTCCTAATGGAAATGCTTTATTCTGCATTTTCAAGGAATTGCCACACACAGGAAAATATTCTTTATATTTCCAATATTATTGTGCTTAAGTAACTTTTTTTTAAATAAATTGCTTTATTTTATTGTATGTAGGAAACTAAGTAGTGGAATTGAAACATTTACAGTTTTATTTATTTTATTTTTTTAAAGATTTTATTTATTTATTCATGAGAGACACATGAAAGAGACAGAGAGAGGCAGAGACACAGGCAGAGGGAGAAGCAGCTCCATGCAGGGAGCCTGACGTGGGACTCGATCCTGGAGACCTGGGCCAAAGGCGGCACTAAACCTCTGAGCCACTGGGGCTGCCCTTAAGTAACTTTTTTTAAAGCTCCTAGAATATATAAGTAGGTATAACAAATAATAACTCTCAAATGAGATCTATTATAGTCCTTTTAAAATGTACTGTTTCCAATTTACAAACAGGGATATTTGTTTCAAGTGAGACAACAGAAGTTTAGTGAAAATAACTGAATGAAAATAGGATGTGTAACAAACCTTCTACTGTATTTGTTAAAATGCTGGCTATGCTCATTGCTCTTTGCCTTTGGGAAGGATCTTCTAGAAAGTCCATGGAAACATGGAAAGAACTTGACCTTCTCTTCCTCATCTCAGTTTCGGTGGTTGTTCCCTATAAAGAAAATGCTAATGTATTAAATGATTACTTGAGCAATGCGATAAGCAAAGAACCAAATGTGACACAGTGAATTTCATGAAACACATGCATCATGCACTTTCGTATTTAGTTGGTGATGGCAGATATTGCTGACTTATTGTATCATTAACCTGGAATATCCAAACTGTCAACCATTTAGTCATACAGCAAAAACTGAGGTTTTTAACTCTCTAATTTCATAATTTTACGAGACATGATATAATTTTGATATAGTTAATAAATCTCTTGAGAGACATATTTAACAGTTCACCTTATTTCTGAGCTAATAGTGCAAACAAACAACCTGAGAAGTCATGTAAATGATCAGGCATTTTCTTTTGAGAAGGTTGCCATTTATTTTTCAAGAAGTACAAGTGATTACAACACATGTAGCCGCCATCTCATTTCCTATACACAAGACACAGATGGTCATTGACAACACAAACTGTATGTTAAAAAACACACACATGCTGCATGGACAACAGTTTCATCCAGGGTACCAAAGCAATAAGTCATCTAATTCTGACTTAGTCATGCCTCATCATGCTGATATATTCCCAAGTGAGTTATCAGTCTAATAAGAGGCAGCATGTGTTCAGAAATTCCTCATCCTCGTATTCGTTCACAAACACGTAACATTCGTTTGTACAGACAATTCCTTTATCTGTCTGTATTAACGATTTATTTCTGTCTTGTCATTTAGATTAATTTTGAGAAGACTTATATCAGCATTCTTTTTTACAAAGACAGATGTGAATACTAGAAATTTTAAGATAACAATGAAGCTATCTATTTAGGCACAGTGTTCTTGAAAATCTTCTAAAATAAGGCACAGATAGTGAAGGAGATGTTGGAAAGATTTATTATACACCCTTTATACTTAAACAGAGGAATCATTCATTTACTTTTATACCAAAGCTTTAGAGGATATCTTGCTAACTAAGCTCAGCATGGGTATATAGCAAATCCTCCAACTGGAGGCAGTGATTCATTATTGTGTCTACTTTATCCTTAGCATGTTTAATAAGTAAATGCTTTCGGTGTTATGCAAAAGTGTTGAGGCCTTCGGTTTTAGTTGGTTAGTCTATTAAAGGTATTACAAGATGCAGGTGCATTCACAGCTTGACCAACCAGGAATCATTCTCAAAGGGTTCCATTCTGTAGAAACACTGGCTGGTGCAGCAATAATGGGCCAGCCATGCCTGAACTATTTAAAACTTCCTTACATTGTCATCAGTAGCTGGCTTATCTATTATCACCTCTGGCAGAAGCTGTCCAACAGGCGATGTAGGAACTGAAGGTCCACCAACCAAGGAAACCACACCATTGCAATCCACAGTGCTGTGCATCTTCCCATTCGCTGGAAACACTGCCAGCATCCGGGAAGACCTACTGGTCTGACTCAGGTTACTGTTGCGTCGCTCTCCGTGTCGTCGTGGCACAAACAAGGAGTCTCTCCGGCTCTCGTTATCCTCAAACGTACTGTGCTCATCATCCGCAAAGTCATTCTCTGATCCCACATCCTTTGCTCGCCCTCTAAAGCTGAAAAGGCTTGTTCTGCTATTTCGCCTTGGAGAAAATAGGGAGCCACGGATGCTCAACAAAGACTAAAGTCGGAAACCAAAAAGAAGTACAATTATATTAGTATAGCCTTTTGAAACGTGCTTTTAATTTTACAAGATTAAGTTGAAGGAGATTTCAGTATTCATAACAGAACGTGATTCATTCCTTTTGATTAACATTCTTATTTTATGTGCTCAAATTGAATTGGCTTTCTCAGAGATTTCTAGTCCTTGAGATTATGAATGGGGAGATATAGATCACAACTTAAAGATACTGAAAAAAAAAACAACACCTCCAACCACCGTCTTTCAAATTCAAAAGGAAACATCCTTTGTACATACTGTGGACACCATGAACATTCAATAAACATTGGCAGCATGACTTCACAAGGACACGTTTGTTCTCACTGTTCTTTCCTTTCAAGGAAGTCCAACACTTCATAAATCGTTTTAGGTCATCTTTCTAAAGTCACTTTATATTAATTATCATCCCTGTATCATTTAAGAGGCACAGACTTCTGAAATTCAGAGTAATGCGCTTTTTGATCATATACATCACACCTGATTATTTTCAGAAGCACAAACGCTGGTTTATAAAGAAGTTGGCGGGGGTGGGGGGAAGGGAACAGCATAAAATAAACCAAAAAAATTACTGATCAGCCAGTCTTGTATCCACTTTTTTGGTTTGTTTTTGTTTTCATTAAAAAGGGTGGGGAGCAAAAAGAATAAATGTCATTAGTTTCAAAAGGTATCAGCAGATAGGATCAGGATGGGAATCCAGGTCTTCTGACTTTCACCCCAGCGTTACCCCAATTACACAAAGCCGCAGACTTACATACACATGGAGTAAAATTTTCTCCTAGCTATGTGAAGAAAAGATAGGTTTAAATATAATAAACATAGCAGTCAGTTCATTTGATGACAATTCGTAAATCTGATTTCATTCTTCCCCTCTCTAGAGTGTTCTGATTTTCACCCATGCGCCATCTAACCCAGTCGTGCCGTACCTGGTGCGGGGAGGAGTACCTCTTTTCATAGGTCAATCTGTTCCCTTCTATGGAGAAGCGAAACCCTTTCCTCCTGATGCTGTCTTCAGATTCAGATTTATGGAATTCATCCTCATCTTTCTCTTCCCCACCTGACTGCTCTTTCTGTTTTCTTTTCTTTCTCCGGTTTCTTCTTTCCTTAGCACTCTTGGAACTCAACTTGGATGCTTCAGATGAGCTGTCGGAGAGCCCCCCGGCGGCACTAGGTTCTCTGGAATGCTCTGAGGCAGTTACAGCTGCTGCCTGCTACATTAAGGAGAAATGGTTTTAGTATGGCATGAGAGGAGACTTTAAAGCTCAAGTATTTGCACGACATTTAAAAAATATAGTTAGCTGACTCAAGCTGTTTGTCCAAGAAGAAGCTCTGCAAGTGTAAGTGGGATTTTCCCCCCTTTCTAGCTAATGAAGACTTTTGGGGTTAATGTGGTTTTATCTGTGCTAACATCTATTGTGTTTATATTACACTATAAAGGCCACATATTCAAAAGGACCAATCAGGCATCAACAAGAACATAAAGTTTTATTTCTTTTTGGGATTTGATTTACTCTAAAAATTGGTATTTAATTAGCACTGTTTTCTTTTCTCTGAAAAAGAAACTGAAGCATGGAAGAAAAGCTAATGACTTAATTGAGGTCATATTCCAAGGTAGGAGGAATGAAATAAAAAGCTGAGGTCCTCTTCCCAGTTATTAAAATTGGGCTGTCAAAATATTATCAATCGAATTTACAGAAAGGTGATAAAATCCCTTTCTTGCCCCTCCATAATCCAAAAGACTGGAGAATGGGCAGTCACAGTTTCTACTAAGCAAGACAAGACATTCCATTCTCCAAACACCATCCCCAGCTTCTTTGGCTCACCACTAGTTCTTGCTGGATGTATGGGCGTGGAATGAAAACGACGCTTTTGATCATAGCTTGTACTGGTACTCAGTTGGCACTTTTTGATTATTACCACTGTTCTCAGAGTATCCTCAATACAGGGACTCTTGCAAATAAATCAGTATTTCCCAAACATCTTTATTCTAAAGTAAATGCACTGAGTTGTATGATAAACAGAAAGCATGAATGAAGATGGAAGTGATAGAACAGGCATTTTATCACACTGAGAGTATCAATACCTCACTATAAGAACAAGCAATCCATAGGCCACCTGGTCTTCATAAAATTGGTGACTTTCATATGCCTATTGAATACTGCTTTGTCATAGAACACTGTATTATTTCATCCCTTATTTACTATATAAGAAAGACAAGTAAGCAACCATATTAAAAGCCAGTATAGGAGATCCCTGGGTGGCTCATTGGTTTAGCACCTGCCTTTGGTCCAGGGCGTGATCCTGGAGTCCCGGGATTAAGTCCCACATCAGGATCCCTGCATGGAGCCTGCTTCTCCCTCTGCCTCTCTCTCTCTCTCTCTCTCTCTCTCTCTCTCTCTCTCTGTGTGTGTGTGTGTGTGTGTCTCTGTCTCTCATGAATAAATAAATAGAATCTTTTTTTTAAAAAAAAAGCCAGTATATCTTTGGTTAAAGAAAATAATAGACTATCTTTAAAGAGTCAGATGAACATCTTTTTATATAATAACCAATACTTTTTTTCTAAGAAAAGATGACTTCTTAGGGATTTCTCCCAGTGCCAGTGTACTCATTCAGTATGTTTTTCACTTGAGAAGATTCAAAATCACATTTTTCCTTTAGTCATAAAAAAACTTAAAACATTAAAAAGGTATGAGAGATTTCCATTGTGACCAATACTACAGACATCTTAGAAAAATTAAACTAAATGATCTCCAGATAACCAATATGTAGAAACCATTACTAATCTGCCAACTACCAGCCTAAGTGGAGTCAAACAATTATCCATCTCTCACTTTTTCTCCAGTATTTTTGTAACAATCAAAACAATAAAAAAGAATTGTATCATGAGACAGACATATTTGATTTGGAAAATTTACCTGAGCTGCCTCCTGTTGCTTTTTAAGCTGTTCGAGCATCTGCTGAAATTCAGCCTCTTTCTGTTCTGCTTCTTCCAAGGTGGCCTGATTCTGTTCCTCGTAGGCCATGGCCACCACAGCCAGGATCAAATTTATCAGATAGAATGAGCCCAAGAAAATGACCAGCACAAAAAATATCATGTATGTTTTTCCTGCAGCACGTAATGTCTGAAAAGAACATTAAAATTATTTTTTCAATATCATTTCACTCACTAGGAGCTTCAACTTTCAACTTACTTATATGTCATGTAGGACTCTGACATAAATAATAATTATGATGGTTACACCCCCTTCTACCTCCTTGATTGTAACCTCCTCTTCCTTTCCCCCTAACTCATGCAGTCACATTCTGATCTCTAGGAGGAAATTCTCGGATAAATAATAAGTAAATAAGTAAGTAAGTAAATAAATAAATCAGAATCAAATTAAGCACTGTTGAGATTTCATCAAAGAGCTGAGCCTGTGATAAACGTCAAGAAAGACATCAAAGTTATCTTTCTATCTGCTTATTGATTTTCACCACCTGCCACCTGAGGAATAATACTTGAGGGGGCAGATGGGGCTGAGGGGAAGATGTACCTCCTATTTAGAGGACCTGTGTCTGGAAAGAGTGGGAAATTGGTTTTGAGCCAAAGAGAAATGAGAGAAAATTGTTATTCCTGTCATCAATATGCTGAATATGTGCTATAATCAATATGATAAAGGAACTCCAATCTCCTAATTTCGAGTTCTGTTCCTTCTACTATATTATGCTGTGATTTGGATTTTATAACTAAGATGCTTTTCTTATATGCTTCTAGGTAAATGAGGTATGTATATCTTCAGGTTCTCACCAGCTGATAAAGATTTTCCCAGAAGTCCTGAGTCATCAGTCGAAACAGAGACAAAAAAGCCCAACTGAAGGTATCAAAGCTTGTGTAGCCATAATTAGGATTTCTACCAGCTTTCACACACATATATCCTTCTGGACATTGACTATAAGTGGGGCAAAAGAAAGTATTACAAGAAGTTCTGCTATCCTTTTATTCTGATAGCGTGATATACTTAAAGCATTGTCTACCCAGGAAAACTGGCAATTTCAAGACATAGAAGTTATTTCAAGGGACAGAAGCATGATAAGTGAGTAACATACATTTCCCAACTTTAGACTTAACATAAGTTTACTAGCCTCTTGATGTCATCATTAAAATATTGCCTAGCATTTTACTAATATCTAACAAAATTATTTTCTGTTGATAAATAGCATTTTAGCATACTCTAGTTTATTTTCCCCACTATGAAGCTTCTAGACCTGTCTTCCAGCTCACATATACTATTCTAAGAGACAAACCATTAAAGCCAAAGTATTATTCCTTGTTTTATGAAACATAAAAGCTTGCCTAATGTTAAAATAATCCCTCACCTTAGGAGTAACCTTAATTATAGCAAATAAGTATTAATAAAGTATACGCATTCACAAGCACACACAAATTATTGGCTTACCCTGCATCAGAGCTATTTCCACATAGGAGTGCATCCAAAATACCCTCCAGAAAATAATGATATCCTGGTTAAAAAAAAAGAAAGTCATATGATGGGCATTTGCATTATGTTGCAAAATGAAAGCAAGATCAGGCCCAACTTTTAGGATTCATAGAGTAATTGAAAATATATTATAATTCACTCAAAGACAGACGTATTTGCCACCTGCCCCTCTAAATACTAGATATTATATTAAAGGGACTGGATACTTAATAGGAGAAAGCATTTGCTTTTTATGAATGTAAAATTAACAAAAATCCAGGTGCTAGCAGAAAAATTTAAAAGGTATCAGTGTTTTTTCCATCACCCTTGTGAAAAATAAAAATTTCATTCTGTAAAAATAGATAAGCATGATAGAGATTCCTTTTTTTTCAAAACAGCCAAGTATTTGAAAATAAAAGGATTGTATTTTTTCTTTCTTCTGTATGCTAAACTACTTATAAATGTTTAATAGTTAATTATAATTTCCATTCTACCAACTTCCAGAATATTTCATTAAAGTCAATGATCTAGAAACTTAATCTGAAGAAATTATAACTTTCAGTCATAATGTTTAACCTTTAATTTTAATAAATTTAATTTTCTATTACTTTCAAAGATAAACCATTTTACTTATATTTGCATTTGATTTAAATTAATCTTTTTGGGTACTTGGATGGCTCAGTTAGTTAAGTGTCTGCCTTCTGCTCAGGTTATGATACCAGGATCCTGGGATCAAGCCCCATATCGGGCTCCCTGCTCAGCAGGGATGGATTCTCCCTCTCCTTTCTACTTGTGCTATCCCAGTCGCTATTTCTGTCTGCCTCTCTTTCTCAAATAAAACCTTTTTAAAATATAAATTAAAAAAATTTTTAAATAATCTTTTCAACAATCGGAGTATTATTGAATACTCCATTCAACAAATAAAGTACTATTAGGCAAAATAAGTACAAATTGATAGAGATGAACAATGCCTCAGATATTTATTATTTCTTTTACTTTGACAATAAGAGAAATGGAGTCCAGCACATTTTCACATGAGAGAATAAAACCAAACAGACATCCTCATAGACCTTTAATTTTAGATGAAGAGAAAAAATATAACAGATTTCAGGGAGTTGGTGACAGCAATAGCCTTAGTGGCATCATACGAAGTGAATAAGGGACATTTTATGTATTGCTTTAACACATAATTTTCTTAATCTAGAGATTTCCAACCATTTGCAAAATATTTGTTGGCATATCACTAATGTCATGAAAGAGTTCATCTGTGTCATCCAAGGCATTTTCTAGATCTCCAACTATAAAAAGAGACACTGATTAGGTTTTTTATTATGCTTATCATGCCTTTAAGAATTATCCAACTACCAGTAATTTTTTATGACTAATCCTACTTGTTCCATACAACAGTCACTAAGGTTTTTTCTTTGATTTTTTTTCCTCAGTGTTACTCATCACCTTAAAATAATAACGATAGAAGCTCATCTAAAGACTAAGTTTTATATATTTAATATTTTTCTTTAAAAAAGACATTCCATTTCTCCATGAATTATGTTCTGTCTCTGCTTCTGAAACATTGCTACTGGCAAATACTAAAACTAAATAAAAGAGAAAATTTTACTTACTTTCTTTGCAGCCGAATTCTTCAGCCTCCCATATAATGATACAACAGAAAATGGCATTTAGAAGTCAAAATTAAAACAGTTATCAATAAAATAATTAAGTGTATATGCAAACCATTGATTAGATGATTAAAAGATCAGAACCTATTACACAATCATTTTAAGAGAATTTTTCATGTGTTGGTGGAAGACAGATCAATGAAAAAATAAATTTATGTAACAAAAATTCTTACTTGAATCTTGAATATATGATTTCCAGTCAAACTCAATGAGAGTTTCGTTGACAAGCGTGCCATTATAATTCACAGTTATATTCCTCTCTATACTATGTTCCTCTAGAGAAGCATTGGTGGGAGGCCATTGTACACATTTATTCCGCAGGTTGCCCATGAATAGCTGCAGCCCGATCAGTGCAAACACACTCAGACAGAACACAGTCAGAATCATGACATCAGAGAGCTTCTTCACTGACTGGATCAGGGCCCCCACAATGGTCTTCAGGCCTTAAAGAAAGAAGGTGATGTCTATGAAGTCTTAGAAGGTCAAAAATAACAAAGTCTCCACAATTTTCTTGAAAACAAAGATTCCATGCATAAGTCTGAAAATAACTGTAATGCTAGTGGATAAGCAACACTTTATGTAGGCTAAAGTGCTGAGGAGATAAGCTTTGGAAACATAATGATCCAAGCAATGAAATGAAGTTCATATCCCATTATGTTGAGAGAAAATAATGGAAAGTTCATGGTCTTCATGAAATCTGTGTTACGAAAAGGCTCTTGTATCTCTACTTTTAGCTAATGAAACTCATCCTATACTTTCACTGGGGTCAGTTGTCAGTTTTATAGCAAATTACCTGATACATATTTTTAAATGCCTATTTATAAGTAGGAAATGTTTTGCTATAACTCTGGAGGTGGTTTGGCATATAACTACACTTTAAGACAATAAATCCTCCATTCAGACTCATGCTTTTCTCCATTATCTTATTTCCTTTTCTTTAAAGCAATATTAGAATTTACATTGTATATTCATCATCATCAATACCTACAATGAGCAAGAAATTATAAATTGGTACATTCAGTAGGGACCAAATCCTTGGTACAACTGACATGGAGAAAAAGAAAACAAAATATGCCATCTCTAAGTACAAAACACACACGCTGTACTTTTCAGTATCTCCTGCAAAACACTGTTAAACTCCTAGGCTGATGAAAAGTGGAAAAGCATAAAAGCTTATGTCCAAATAAGAATTTTTGTCTCTAAAGCACTCAATTTTGATTATGATTTTGATTATTTTCTTATGATTCCTGATTTTCAGCAATGCTGAGTATCAAGTAAAGAAGCCTGTCACTGAAGAAACATGATGGGTCAGCCCTGGTTTTTAACCTAGCTCTCACCTGGGATGACTGAAATTGTTTTCAGTGCTCGGAGAACTCTGAATGTTCTTAGCGCTGAGACATTGCCCAGGTCCACAAACTCTGTCACGTATCTGTAATAGGGAGTTCACACACAACACAATAACAGGATACAAAGAAAGAGCTGTAGGTATAAGGACCATTATGCTTCACACCAATCACTCCTTACCTGGAATTACAGAAATAGTTTTCAAAGCTCTCAAGACTCTGAAAGTTCGAAGAGCTGAAAAATTGCCTAGGCTTACAAATTCTGTTACATACCTGTAGAATTAAATCAGAGTTATTCAAGATTTAAGCAGGATTTATATTATTTGCTTGGACCTTTTATAAAGACCTTCCTGGTGATTCTAAATGATAATATTCTAAGTAGCAATTTAGAAATTAGAGTTTATCACTATGGTTCACTTAGCCTACATAATTAAGGCTGTTCATAGATGTAAACTTCATAAAGTATATAATCCTGTTGCTATTTAGGCAAGAAATACAATCAACATCATGTGTAACTAAGGAGAATTAAATACATAGAAAATAAATCTTGGCTATAGTTTCAGGGTTTCAGTTAGAAAAAAGGGGGGGGGTATGTAATCATCCAAGAGAAATTTAGGTAGGAAAGGGCAGATTGCCTTACTGACTATCTGTACATGAAAGTTTTTTCTGGTGCAACTCCTAAGTAAAAGTTAGGCAATGTAAGAACAAGATTTTTTTGAGTGCTCAATGGTGCCCTTGCTATTACCGCTACTTTATTAGCAAAAAACAATTGTCCCAATATGCTTTCTTTTGAATTGTGCTGAGAAGGACTGGTGAAGAATTGACTTATCTTGACTAGCTATGTAATTAAGACCAGACAGGCAGCATTTAGAGCCTTGAGTATGTATGTCAGCCCTATTTCTCCTCCTATCTTCCCCATGATGCCTACAAGAGGCCAAGAAAATCAGCTCCTGAAGGAACAATGAGGGCAAGTGGACACAGGTCACCTTCCTCTATACTAATTTCACCTACTCCCCAATGACCTTTGGTTACTTTTCTGAGTCTTCTTCCTCGGGGAAGTTTACCACTAGAAAAAAAGGAGATGGTTGGAGAAACTGTCCGTATTACTATTGAGTGTACCTGGATGGGAGATGAAGATAAGAAGGTTTATGTTGAGGGTAAAGAACGATATGAAGAAAATCATGAAAGGGAAAAAAAAAAAGAGGCAGAAATAAATAGGACCAGGTGAGGAATAGAAAAAGACAGGAGATTCCTGGGTGGCTCAGTGGTTCAGCGCGGCCTTCAGCCCAGGGTGTGATCCTGGAGACCCGGGATGGAGTCCCACGTCAGGCTTCCTGCATGGAGCCTGCTTCTCCCTCTGCCTGTGTCTCTGTCTCTCTCTATGTCTATCATAAATAAATAAATAAAAATCTTAAAAAAAAGAGAAAAATACAGAGAATGTGTCTGCTTGTAAGTCTTAAAAATCAATTTGCTGATAAAATAATAATTTACTATATTAAATACATAATATGTTAAGTACCTTATTTTTTACTATTAGTTTGATCTGTAAGAATGTTTTGATGTTTATAGACTATTATTGTACCAACCAATAAAAGAAGACAGAGGATTGCCTGGGTGGCTCAGTCAGTTAAGCATCTGAATCTCAATTTCAGTTCAGGTTGTGATTTCCAGAGTTGTGAGACCAACCCCTGCATTGGGCTCTGCACTGGGTGTGGAGTCTACTTGTCCCTCCCCCTTCCTCTGCTTGCTGTCTCTCACTCTCTCTCAAATGAATCAATGAATGAATCAATGAATAAATAAATAAAATCTTTTTAAAAAAGAAGACATAATACATAATACAGGTAAGGTCAATGAAAATTTGTGTAGTCAGCAGAGCTGTCTGTGACTATAATTTTTGTGTGTGTGGCTATAATTTTTAAAAGTGATTTTCACAGATGTATTATGAATATACCTGTGCTTTCATATTGTGTGAGTGTGGGAGGAGGTTGTGTGTGTGTTGAACAAGTGGCATGTATGAAATTTGCTTTCATGTTTGTTACACGCGGAGGTTGTAACTTCACTCCCCCTGCAGAAACTGTATGCCAAAGTAAAGCACTTTGACTTCTGTTGTCCTAAATAAAATCAGGAGCTTAAATATATAAATCACATCAAAATATCTTTTCAGTTAAAGCAAGCTTAGTCTTTAAAAACATAGGCACTCAGAGAAAGTCAAACCACATTCTATCTTGCAGTTTCAAGTATCTTGCACTTACGCGAATGTAATGACAGTGAAGTCGAGCCAGTTCCATGGGTCTCGAAGGAAAGTAAAGTCTTCTAAACAGAAGCCCCTTGCAATAATTTTTATAAGTGATTCAAAAGTATATATTCCTGTGAAGGTGTACCTGGAGGCAAGTATCCAAAAAGAATTGATAAAGATATAATTTCCTTTTATAGCATATCAATTTCTTATCATTCTGTCATTGCAGTAGATGAATATTAAAAAAGAAACCTAAGCAGGCTGATGTTATTTTCATGCAAATAAAACATACCCCTAAATTTAAATCCACTCCCTAACATATAAAGAGTTGGTTTTTAAAGTGTCCTAAGGGCAGAGTGAGAAATACATGCTGTATAAAGTCTATGGAGCTACTGTCTGAAATGCCTTGGGATTGACATAAATGAATAGAACCTCCTGAAAATTACCCAGTTCACTCACATGATAGAGTGGCCAACTAATAATATTGCAGAAGCATAAAATGATTTTCCCTTAGAAACTAAAAAATTAATTTCAATCATGTTTTATGAATGAAAGAACATTGACAAGTTAGCAAGTCTCGTGTTTTTCCCTTTCTATAAGATAAGACAGTTAACTAACTTGGATAAAGGATTTTATTAACATCAAAACAGGATAACTCCAGGGTCATAAGAGTTAATTGAAAATTTAATTTGGAATAAAATGTTAGTCTAATTCAGAAATTTAGATGATTCCAAAGTTTTGACCTTCTACTCACAAGTTAGAGAATAAAATCACAGAAACCAGGGGGACTGAAGACGTCTGGGCCTCACAGGTTAACTTCAGTACTTTAGGAATTCTTTGTATGCAAATCGTATTATTTCCTGTAGGATCTCTGTTTCTTACTGATTGGTTCCAACTTGGAAGTGTCCAGTGAGGGATAGGGCTCTTGGGAATACTCTGTGGTGGTTGTTTTCAGGGTCAGCAGCCACAGAGCAAGAGTGTTTACAACCTGGGCAGGTGAGCAGCCTCAGCAGCACTTAACACAACTCCAGCCTCTCTGCCCTCTGAGGTAGCCCGGAGCAGAGACACCAGTGCAGTTAGTGATGCTTCAGGTTTCCAAAAACACAAACGTAACTTTCACTCCAGTTAGTTTAGCCTGAAGTTTATTGAATTTTCAAGTTGTAAAATTCCAAATTTGGGGATTTTTTTTCAGTAAAGTTTTTGATGACAATGCTTGAAACTAATATAAGCCTGACATAAAATGGATGTGCCTGATGGAAATGAAAACTCTGAAGAGGATCAACATTGTCTTCTTATGGCACGTGTAACATTCCCTTATGAGTTCTTAATTCACTGAATTCATCTAGAATTTAATTCGAATCAAGGTCTATCATATTGGTTCTTTTCTGAAATTATTTTCATTACATTTGCTTTGGCCACTGTAGATCCTAAAGGAAAAATGGTGAATGTCCAAGGATGATGGGATTCTGATAACCATCAAATATAAGTGAGGGACCGATATTAAATCCAATACCAGCAGGCCTGAAGGCCAATGTCATTTGTCTTCCTGCTTGTACTTGTGCTCAGAAATGGTTTTACTAAAAATACTCTTCAGTGTTGTTTGGAAAGTACGTGGGGTATTGTTTCAAAATCCTAAATATATAGATATACATGTCTATATGTCTCTACATGTATATGCTTTCATCTACACACAAACATACACACACACACACACAAACACACGCTCACATAGTAGGTGGTTTAAATATAAGTTGAACTTACTCTACATTCTTTGTCCAGTCAGGAGGGTTACTCATTGTCATAAACACACAGTTTGTCAAAATAGTGCACATAATTAGCATGCTGAATAATGTAGGTACTTGTTAAGGAACACACAAAAGAAAATCTAAATCCATGTATTATATTATATAAAACCAGCATTGAAAGCTCAAACTATAGTTTATCCAGGACACTGTCTAATACATTGTGGGCAATTATGTTTTGTCATCTGTCAAATATGGGCAATAATATCGCCCTCACAGAGGAGTTGTGTAGATTGAGATAATGTATGAGGAAGCTTTATGTAAGTATAAAATGTTGCTTTGATACTATTATTGAATCGGTATACTTACTTCCCAGAGAACTTCAGTGAGAAAACTGTGCAATCAGGAGTAGTACAGCTTTTGAAGAGAGATAACCGATCTGAACCAATTTGAATTTGAACTAATTCAAGTGACTAAAAGAGCAAATCTTAAAGGAAGGCACATATATGCAATATTTTAATTTCTTAAATACATAGAAATTTGATGAATTAAATAATAATGTAAATATGATAAATTTTAAAAATTGGTAGTCATAGTATAGCATGGTGCTAAGTGTCTGATTGCTTTACTTTGAGTTTGTACAAGTGCAGCAGTACTAAATATGGGTAAAAATGAAAATTCCAGAAGGCCAGGATTTAATGTGATATGAATTATAATTAAAATTCAACATAAAAGTGATCTTGGGCAAGTCACTCAGCCACTCTGACCACAGAATCTTAGGTCTCCACTGACTTTCTTATAATGTAGCTGATCAAGTCTAGACCTGGTCAGTTCTAGGTGCAGATGACATGAGTTAAAAATGTGGAAGGTACTTGGCAGAGGCCTAAATGTTAGTAGACAGGATCCAAGTGTTAGCTCAAACAAATGACGAAGACAGAACTATTAGGGAGCTGAAAGGGACCTTGAAAAACACCTAGCCTAATCACTATCTTTCAGGAATTAGAGAAATAAGACCTAAGCTCTAGAGAAATTAGATAACTTGGCTGAGGAGTAGAACATAAGTTTCCTGCCCTCATAGCCAACATTCTTTCCACTACGATTTACTGCCAAAACAAAAATTTTCCATAAGTGCAAAAGGAAGTTTTCATCAAATGACCACATGATGGCACTTGGAGTACAAACTAGGATAAGGTAACCTCTGTAAATGTAAAAACCTTGAACATATAATTCTTATGTTTCAAATCTTTTAATATTAATAGCATCATATTTAGACCACTAAGGATTCTCTTGCTAGCAGGTTAAAAATAGAATGGCCTTTTCAGTTTTAGAATCTTTTAAAAAAAATCAGATAGTATGTGTTTATCACCAAAGCTATCAAATGAGACATAACCAGAAATAAAGTATTTCTGCCAATGAATATGAATAGATGAATTTAGAGTCCGTTTTTAACAGCAATGAAAATTGCAAAGTCAAATCCCTAAAGACTATTCAGAAATATAATCTCAGCTTCTTTCATTAATTTCCAGAGTCTTTACTAAGCAATCAGTTTTACATGACACAGTCATAATTCAATGACTTAAATTTGAAATTCAGCCAATATTCCAGTATTTCCTCAGGTGTTTCATTAGAAAAGTTCAAGAATTCACTAAGTATTGGCCAATGCCCCTTGACATTCTCCCACAGAAAATATACTTAAAGGTTTATACTAAGGTCCATTAAAATGCTTTATATAATAGATAAGTCTACACTTGGCTCTGGAAATAGATTTCTTTGTTATTATAACATTATTCACTGCAAGTTCCAGATAATCACAAACTTTGTACAAAGATGGTAAGGATAAATATGGCCACCTTTCACTAGTTTTCTAAGACTCAATACATACAAGTATTTTTAGGAAGATATATACCAAATGTTAAAGAGTGACATATAATATATGTTTGAAAGATATATTGATAAATGCCATAGAATATGGACATTTCCCAAGCAAACTTTATATTTAGCTACAAAACACTTATAGATCACACACAAATAGTTAGTATCGATCACTTGAAAAGGATATGAATGTACCAAAATCTTAATAGCTATTTTCCTAAGAGGATTGAAGGGAGTTAAAATGTACAGGGCAGAGGTGGCACTGAACCGGAAGATGGCCTTCCCTTTATTCAATACTATAAAAGTCTGTAAGATAGGAACACAACATAGAAGTATAAAAGTATAAACCATTTAACTTTTTTGCCTACTTCTGTTATGTGTCATAATGAATCATTCCAATGTTGCAATTCTTACTGTGCACCATGCAGCCAGACTGTCACTGGACATCCAATGGTGTCACTTACCTTTTACCTGGTACTTACCTGCAATTTTATCATACATAAGGTATTTGGCCAAGAGAATGTATTTATTTTCTTAATATTTTAAGCATCTGAGTTAAATGAAAGTCTTAAATTGGTGTGTATTTCATTTCATTCTAAAACTCTTAAGACACTACATTCCTTTGATAGTGATTCCAAGCTTTCCCAATTCAAACATCTTGAAAATTAGTCTGTAGAATGCAAAATCATTCAATAGAACTAATTCTTTTTTTTTTTGAAATTATTTTTTAACCACTTATTCTTTAAAATAAATATCACTCTACGGGTAATAGGAAATAAAAACAGCCACCATCAAAACCACTCTTGAGTTAGATGGACATAATCCAACAATTGATTTTTGGAAGCCAAGCTCCCTGGAGAGTATCTGTTGACCAGGAGTGCTAAATTCTGAATTCTGTATTGGGATTTCTGAGTTAGCTGACACATTGAATTCTAATCCCAATTGACTGCTCATCTCATGTAGTGATTTTTTAGCACAGAGGAAAACCCCAAAGCCCCCCAAAAACCTAGGTTCCATGAATGTAAATGGAATCACATTCTAAAAATTAGATATATTTCAGAGCAATTAGCAGTGTGCAGCCAAAAAAATAAAGTAGCAACATACAATGACATAAATTTCATATAACAAAAGATTCTGATTCTGTGTTTCTTAAAGCATTTACTAATAATCACATAACATAAAATTTACCATCTTAACCAATTCTAAATGTATTCTTTAACATTGCCTTTTTAAAAGAATGTGTTGGATGGTTTATTATATAATGAAGTACCTTAGCATCTTTTAAATCTAATTAGTTAAATAAAAATTTCATTACCACAACTCCTCAGGATAATGTTTACTGTACAAAGTTACTTCAATACCAATGAAGAAGTTCAAAATTGATGGTTGAGGAGAAAGGCTGATAAATAGCATTGAGCTTGAAATAGACTTCTCTTCACAGCCCAAGGGTGCAGAAAACTCATGGATTCATTTCAACATAATTAAATAATTACATGAATAATTATGTGCCTCAGAACAAATTTCAAAATAGCATTTTCACTGAATCAGAAATGAGATTCTATATATGAAACATCACTTTAAGGATACATTTGTATGAGTACAACTCTTCATACATTAGATGGTGGTCAGATTCGTCACCTCTTCATATGTAGTTATTAAACTCAAGTAACATTTATTGAGTCCCTATATGATAAGCTGCTAATATGTATGATCATGTCAAACACATGGAAAGTATCATGGAACTAGTTTAGGTTCAAATATTAATTGAATTAAATATCAATGCAAAAGATGTATATTAACTATGTAGCACAATATGTGCAAATCTCTGTGCTTTGGTTTATAGTGAAAACAAAGATAGACATGACCCCAAGAAGTCTGTATACTAGTAAATGTTCAACTATAACAGCTAATGGAAGAAAACTTAGAAGGATAAGGGAATGTTTACCTAGATCAGAGCTGTCCAATAGAAATATTAAGAGAATTACAAACCTGAGCCCATATGTGATTTTAAATATCCTGAGTCATAGTTTTTAAAAGTAAAGAAGCAAATGAAATTAATTTTAATAGTTTCTTTAGCCTAATATATCCATTATATTATCATTTCATGAAATCAATATTAAAAATTATTGAGAGATTTTGCTTTTTTTTCATACCAGTTCTAAGTCTTCAAAGTCTGGACTCACCACATTTAAAGTACTGTAGCCACATTTGGCTAACGTCTATTGCATTTGGCAACACAGGTCAAGAGGTAAACCATGCAGTGTACTGCTAGTTCAGACTCTCTTCAGCCAGGTAAAAATCAATTCTGATTTTAAAGGCAAACCAAGAAAAACAGGCAAACACTCCTGCTACTCAACAGTCTGACAATCTGGAGAGCAACATTAGGAAAATATAAGTAGGATTTGTTTTAACTAATGTAGTTATTAAGAGTGCAGACTCTGGAGTCAGATGTCTGGCTCAAATGTAGCCTTCTAGCGGTGAGATCCTAGACAAGTTACTTCATTTTCATGTGACTCATTTGTCTCTTTGGAAAAATGGGAATACACATTCTTAGCTCATAAAGTTGTTATGATTCCAATTCAGTAGAGATTCTGATGCCTAGTATTGTGTATTTTTCATAAAATACTCAGGTGATTCTTCAATAGCGGGGCTGTGAACCTGTGTTTCTTAATGAGCAATATTTAAAATTGCCCAAATTGTCAATGATTATGTTGTACACGAGCATTAAAATTCTTCCTCTTGACCTAGCTGCATGGTCAATAAGGAAACAATTATGTTATGAAAGTTTGGTAGAAACTGCTATTTATGAATCTGTGCTTGTTAGTATCAAGTGATTTTTGTCTCGGAGTTTTTAGAAAGCGATTTTTTAGTAATTTTTTTCCCAAGGTGGACATTAAATCTAACAAGCCATAGTTTTCCAGTCTCTTTTTCTAAAGATGTCCACTACTAAAGGAATCTTAACTTTTCCTTCCATCTAGGGGCCATATTCCTTACAATAAAGCATTTCAATGCAAGCCCCGATTTTGTATTTATCAAAAAAAAATACCAAAATTAAATTTACTGCATTTGCCTGCTTTGAAGGTAAATGCACTGCCAAAAGTAATAGAGGAAGGTTAGCAATGGTCATAAACAACAGAAAATATAGAATACGGGTTGATGAAATTTATGCTTCAGCCTCAAAATTTAAAACAAGCGATTTTCAACTTGTACCTACACTATGCTCCAAATATATATTTGGAAATCAATTCTTTGAAACATCGAATATATTTTTCCATTGAAAAAATATATACATATATATATATACATATACACATATACATATATATATAGTTACATGCCACTCAAAATTGAGCCTATGTGACGATCAATGAAAAGGAATTCTATATTAATGGTACTATGAAACTTCATTACCATGTAAAAGAAAATGTGACTCTGCAAATGGCAAAAGAATTCCAAGTTGGGCTGTAAGGTAAACCTTTCCCCTGATGTTGCCCTGGCATGTGACCTAGGGAAATTCCCTGGCTCAGTCTTCCATCAGAAGAGGAGTCAACCTTTTCCCAGTTCTAAGTTGGTGGTTTGGGAAGAGATTCTAGAAGAGAGGGATAGAATGGGAGCCATGTGGCAGGAGGAGAGATATTTCAGAAGTTTTGGGTGTAAAGAACTTCATAGAAAGTCAAGAGATTCCTGTTGGTGCTTATCTCTGGGAACATTCCTCATCCCTGCCAACTCCACAGCGTCTAATACTCCCCCCCCGGGGGGGCATTCTAAATGGTCTTACTCTGACTATTTTGTGATAATCTGTGGATCAGGCCAAGATTTTCCTTTTTTTCTGGCTCACTGGGGGAATGGAAAGCATTCTCACATGTTTACCACCTAACTGAAGGGAGCATGTATTATTTAAAAATTTTTTTCTCTCCTAGTCTTATTCTATTTTTTCCCTTTAGGCTTGGGATAAGCAGTCTAAAGAATAACCTGTAGCACTTGCCTGCCTGTGGCCCACCCAAGCTTTAGTATCTGGCCTTTACCTAATTACACATGTAATCTTTAATCCAGGGATCACAAGCCAAAATGCCCACAGAGGCTAGATGGCAGGAGGTCCATATCAATTTTTGGTATGCAAACCAGTAATGGCAGATCTGATATTATAAGAGAAATCCGAAATATGCATGATTATATGTGTGTCTGTGTGCGTGTAATCTCTCAATTTATAGATCTTGGAAACTAATTCAAAATAAACAATAGTGCATGATTCAAAGCAAATATATGTGTGGGCTCAATACCTAACAGTCAGTTAAAAAAAAAAAAAAACTGTTTTAAGCTCATCCAAAAGAGAAGAATTCGTATCCAAGGAAGAGTCTGTAAAGTTGCTGGTCCCTAGGCTTTAGCTGGGTGTAATAGTGGGGGTAGGGCCAGTGCCCTCCCACGGGAGGCCCAGCTGGGGTCTATCAGCCAGAGTTATAGCTGCCTCTGCCTCTGCCTCCACCTCAGAGAAGAGAAACTCTAACTGCAGGTGCGAGTAAAATCTGAGGGTCAAATATGTCCCAGCCTGTATCTTCAGCCTATATCGTGGGTGTGGTACATTATTATATGCTCAAGTTTTCATTGACTGGAGAGGACTAATTAGTGGCCCAGTTTTATTGCAGACTTGCTGTGTCAGAACTTTGAGCAAATTATTCCCTGTTGATTCTTACATCTGAATAGAGAAGATGTGAATGCCCTTAATGAATTCTAAAGTGCCACAAAAATACAAGACTTAAAAGGTGAAAAGTGTGTGTTTGTCTGGTTCTCAAATACGTACACATATCAAAACTTGCATATTTGAAAGCAGGATCAATTTTCACATTGGAACTTTGCTGCTCAACGTTTCCTCCCAAACTTCATATTCAGAAAACAATGCCATAAGTCTGCTCTTGTCTGATTCTTGCGCACCTCCAAAATATATTTAGATCCCATCTATCATTCTCTGTTTTCATTGACAAAAATCTAGACTAAGCTTCCATAAACACTCCCAACTTGATCTTTGAAAATATAAAGTGAAAAAAAAATAAAAAAATAAAAATATAAAGTGGACCATGTCACTCCTGTACTCAAATCCTACTGAGAATTCATTTTGCCCTTAAACTTCAAATTCTTCAGTATGCACTTCAAAGCACCCTTACCTAGCCCTGGCCCACCTTCCCAACCACATCTTCTTTTCTTCCTACTTATTATAGTCCAGCTCTATTGCATGTCCACTTATGGGCTGTTCCCTTTCTCTGGAAAACTTTTCTCTCCTCTCCTTTCTACCCTGCAGACCCAAATTAAAT